ATGCAAAAGTAGAGGCCATTCAAAAGGCTTGCACCGGCATAATGGCGGCCATACCGGCCAACGAAAGCTGTATTGAAGCAGAAGGAGACTATTTTGAATAAAATAAATTGATTTTTCCGAAAAAAAAATTTGTTCGGTTTTTTTTTAAAGTCCTGTTTACTATGGAAAACACCTTGTATAACAGCGTCAAATTACCAATTTGTAAAATTGCACAAGATTTCAAAAAATCTTGCAAGCGAGTTCGAATTGGAAATTGGCTTTCTAAGCAAGTATAATATTAAAGTCACCACCAAAACGCCGGTTGGATTCACAATTTTTAAATGTGCGCCCATCCATCGCTTCTGGCTCAACGTTGCCATATGTGCACCTCCCGGCAACCCCTTATTACCAGATTCATTCTCCAGTTTTATCTCTGTCAGCTTCCCCTAATATAATTGATGGCTCACCCCTGCCTTCTCAAATTAAAGTCTCATCGACGCTGGTTAACATTCCGCCTGCGAACAATGAAAAAACAGTCTTGAGTCCTGCTTCAAAAAGGTTCGTCCGCGTTTCAGACTTAACTCCTAAATTAGCGGAGGTTGAAGCTTCTGCTCCCAATCCTTCATATGCTTTATTTATCACTTGTTCTTATATTCCCCCTTCTGCTGATTTTCAAGTCTATATGCAACATATAAATTGTATCAGCGAAGTCTCTTCTTCTTTACGGGATAATGACGCTCTCACTGTGGTCGGTGATTTTAATCTGCCAAATATTCCCCGGGCTTTTCTTAATGGCTCTTATCACCTTATGTGATAAGTATGTGTATACTTATGTGCAACGCATTGTCTCTTTGTTCTTTATGTCTCGCATACCCATCTAACTGTTCTTTATTTCTGCCTGCGAGCAGTTCTCTCTCTTATGCTTAATCGAACGTCAGTCACAAATAAAATCTACTCTGAATACCCTACTATTGAAATTTCCACTTTGCAGCATCTGTCTAAGTCGGTTACAACAACATCCCATTTGCTGGAATTTACATCATTGATTAATGATGCATTCCTAACTAAAATGCAAACTGATGTTATTTATATTGACTTCAGTAAGGCATTTGATTCAGTGAATCACGACCTTCTTTCTAATTTTTCGGTTTGGATTTCATCTTATATTAAAAATAGGACCCAGAGAGTACTGCTCAGATCGGATATCTCTCAACCTGTTCGTGTTACTTCGGGTGTACCTCAAGGTAATCTTGGCCCATTTTTATTCACATACTGATGTATGCTGATGATGTGAAGCTCATTCTATCTTATAACGATCCTCTCTTCCACACTCGTTTGCAGGATTATCTGAGCTGCATGCAGAGATGGTGCTTGGTTAACCAATTGCACCTTAACTGCTGTAAATGTAAGTTTATGTATTTTTATGGGTTCAGACTTTACCTTGTCACCTATACGATTGACAATGAATTATTGCAACGTATTTCTACTGTCGAAGATCTGGGAGTACTGTTTGATTGTAAATTGAACTTCAATCTTCACATTTCTTTTATCGTAAACAGGGCAAAGGGCGTTCTTGGATTTTTTAAACGTTGGTCCAAAGAATTTAATGATCCTTATATCACTAAACTACTTTACAGTTCACTGGTACGGCCTATTCTAGAATACTGCTCCAGCGTTTGGTCTTCACATTCCACAGGATCAAATTGAGTATATTCAGAAAAAATTCCTCCTTTTTGCTCTTCGAGGTTTAAACTGGGGTCCAAACCTTCGTTTGTTGCAGATTTCTGCTTATTAATCTTCCTTCACTGGCTAATCGGAGGACTGTCCTTGGAGCTGTATTTCTCCAAAAATGAATTGCCAGAAGTGTTGATTCTCCTTTCCTATTAGGTCGTCCTAATTTCTCAGTTCCTTCCAGAACGACAAGAAAATGTCGCCTTTCAAATAATATTCCCCCACCGGGTCGGAGGCGTTAATTAGTTATTATTGAAAATTTATTAAATTTCTCCTTCTTAGGCTTTTCTAGCTTATAAAATGCTTTTTATAATTATACTCTTTACATGAAATGTACAGAAGTATATTAGGTTTGCGGGAGCTGAAAAATGTAACAGGCAGAAGGAGGCGTGGCAGACCCCACAAAGTATATATATTCTTGAGCAGCATGACAAGACGAGTCGATCTAGATCTGTCTGTCCGTCTGTCCGTCCGTATGAACACCTGGATCTCAGAGACTAAAAGAGATAGAGACACCAAATTTTGCACAAAGATGCCTTATGTGTGTATTCTATACGAGTTTGTTTTATTTTTTTTTAATTTTCCCCCGCCCCCCACTTCCCCCCTATGGGGGTTTTCCCAATTTTCCATTCGTATAATCGCCTATATCTCGGAGACTATAAGACCTAGGAACACCAATAGTCCCAGATGCCTTATGTGAATACGCAGAAAATGTATATTTTGGAATTTCCCTCCCTCCCTTCTCTAACTCCCGTAATTCTTGGAATTTCGAACTAAAAGTTTGCAAATACCCCCAGTTAGTTATTAAAACGTTTAAAGCCAACAGCTGTAGTTTCATCTTTGTGTTCGTTCGCCTGCACTTTTATCACATTCGTGCAAATTTTTTTTTGTAGTTTCGTCCCTTTTTTAACGATGGGAAGTTTATGTTTTTCTGTGATCCTGCTATTGGAGTATGTACTTGAAAAATGTAGTATAATTTGGCACCAAAAATCACCGAAAAACAAGAAACAGCGACTCTTAAAAATCATAAATAGGCAGAAGGCAAATCAACTGCTGCCGATTCCATGTATTGTTAAATAAGACCAATAGAAGAGCACCGAGTTTGTTTACATTTCAGATTTTACTGTTAGGTACATGCACGCATCATCATACCACAGCTGATTTTTGCTTACATTCATAATTTCAATTTCGCCACCTGGGCTACTTGCTGTTCCTTTATGTGCGCCTGTTACTGAGCTATTGAAAAACGTAGTTCTATTTGGCATTCAAACATCAACAAAATGGTTGGATAATGGAATATGTTGCGATGCGAATGAGTATATGACATCTTTTAGCATAGATAACATTGACACCATAGTCGAATTACATTGACATTGCATGCCAACACAAGCAATAATAATAAGCAAGAATAAGACACATATTATTCTGCTACCCCAGCATAGGACCATTAATCAGATACAGGTCATATTTTCGTGCACTGCACATATAAGTTTATGAGCCAAATTGAGCTGGCACCAGCATACTTAAACTCATAATATATATAATATACATGGCTATATAAGCCATGATTTGTAAGAATAAAATCAGTATGCAAATTATCAACGAACGGCCTGTTACTTTGGGCCAATGGGAGAACCGCTGATCTTTATCACGCCAACTCCCACGTTGGACTACATGATCCCAAGGATTGCCAGCCAGTATCCTTGGTCACTGCAAGCACTCACCATCGCGTTCAGGATTCTGATTCTGGTTCTGGATTCGCTATTAGGTACGAAACCAAACCGATCGTACTGCGTCACTCAAGCGCAACCAGGACAACCGGTGTTACTCACACCTACTGGACCACAAGAGTCCAGTGAAGCATCAGGGCCACAAGTGTCTTTAATTAAACGGATCACGAGTTTCCACCCAAATATCAAACCGGACCACTGGGATCTTGCCTTGATCAACAGAAGGACAACAAGCGTCCTTTAGCATAACTCGTCAGGACCACGATTGTCCTGCCAATTCGCACTACCGCACGTGTGCAAATAAACAGAATATGTAAAACAAGAAAGGAATGCTAAAGTCGAGCGAGTTCATGGGCAGCGATTATATTTATTGCTATACCTTTCTTCAGAATTGACCTATCATTTTGAAACTTGGTATACGGACACATAAGCACTAACTGGATGTAACTATCAAAATTGAAATTCCAAGAATTACGAAAGTTATTTAAATAAAAACACAAAGAAAAGTGGTGGTGGTTTTAATAAAAAACTCGTATAGCATACACACATAAAGCAGCTTTGTACAAAATTTGGTGTCCAGGTGTATAAAATCATCAATATCAGGGGTACCACAGAAATCTCTACACATTTTCATTTTTTCGAACTTCCCCCCTTAAGCCAGCTGTCACCAACATCTGACTATGAAGTGCAGTGCACGAAACTAAATCTGGCAGTTCCGTATTTTCATATTTAGTTTTCGTTTCTATTTTGCACTTAGTAAATTAGCTGTGTAACTTATAATGTTATTAAGGATTTCCTGAAATAATCAAACGGCACTCGCTTAACTCATTATTAACATAAATTTAAATTTTAAGTTATTTTCCGACAAGCTATGCATTTCAAATGACTGCCCTGATATGCACAGCATATAGCCTGCCCACTCGGCGACACACAAGTTTGTTCAATTAGTACACAGTTATTTAAGTTAAAAAACAATTTGGTAATTTAATAATATTTACATAAGATATGCAAAATATTTTTGATGCAGTTTTTTCAGAAGAACTATAAGGTTTATATACCAATAATTATTTTGACATATTTGGAAAAATATCTTTGTTAGTGTTCATAATGAAATCCCAAAAGAGATTTCTCTGGCACCAACATTTGGTTTTCGGGCGAAATTTGGAAGAAAGAGATTTCTGCGACACCCTTGAATTCCTTTATCTGTTCAGGAGATATGATTTTTGAAACGAAAAAAAGTCTGAAAGCGCCACTCCTGAACTTTTATGCTGGACTGGGAAATACACCTCACACTGCAATAGGCAAGTCCTGGCATTAATATTCTTCTTAGCTTTAGGCTTGCCAGGTTTTTTTATATTTTTGTGATTTTTCTTAGCTCCCGTAGCCCATGGTATTTTATTCCCAATTAAGCACAATACTAAGAGCAGTGTAAGAGTTTTAGTTTAAATGGCAGGTTAAAAGAGGGTAAGTCTGATTCCGGGCTTCTGACAGCTACTTTACGGCAGTGATTCCCTTTAAAAATAATAGCTACCCCTGTGAAACGAAAAAACCAACCCCTGTGATGCAGAGAGACTTCACCCTTAAATATGTATGTACAAGTATTAACATATGTATGTATGTACATACATACATACATATGCTGCCATTCTTCAAAATAGAAACACTTCTGAAGCAAATCATGCTCGATGTAGAAAGCGGACATATCAAACACATAAATATACTAATATTTCCTTAATAATTGTGAAAGTTAAGCAAACATTCGAACACTAAAATAAATCCAATTAGATGTTAAGCAAAATGTTATTCATCCTCTTGCATTGTGTTAGCCTTCATTATTTATTAAATGTAGTATCAACATCGAAATTAGTGGAATCAAATATATTAGAAGCACAAAACTATGGGTATGTAAACATTTTTTTAACATCGTGCATAATATATAGATTCATATTTAAATGGAATTTATGTATGTATATATTTCAGAAAAGAATTTCTAGGATTTTAAGTAATTTTCTGTCTGTATATACAGACGTATGTAGATATGTACATACATATATACATATACAGTATATGACTATTAGCGAGATCACATTTAATGAAATTTGTTGCATTCTCGGTTTACAATAAATAGTTGTATGTGGTGCTAATATTTTTAATAAATCTCAGATTTCAGCATTCGTCCGGAATTTGTCATCTTTACAATGGGTCGGTTTGCATTGAATATTTAAAAAATGCATATGTTTTTATTTCACCTAACCTGACTATGAACGATTTGGAAGAAAAGTTAAAAGCCGCTTATGGGGTAATAAAAGAATCTAAGTAAGTGTTCAATTGTTTTTACACATATACATACATATGTATGTGCGTACCTAATAAATACCTATACTTTTAGAGATATGAATTCCAACTGTCGAGTCTACGCACTGCCGAGCTTGTGTTTTAGCTCCCTTCCTATATGCCGAACTCCAGAACGCACTAATTTACTGTTTTTTGCAAATGTAGCAACAAAAACGCAACATGTAAATTTTTCAACAAACCGAGCACGTAAGAAACGTTTCTCGAAAACATCTTCAAAGAATGCAAAAATATTTTTAAAAAGAAAATCAGTTGTGAGCTATGATAACAACGTTTTTGGAACAGATATATCTAGTCAGTACCCACCAACAAGAGAATCTGAAAATTTAAAACGTATTTGCCGAGAAGAATGCGAACTCTTAGAAAATGAATTGTGCCAAAAAGAATATGCTATTGCTAAACGTCATCCGGTTATTGGCAAAAAGCTTCCATTGGAGGAGTGCCAAAGCTTGCCACACCACAAGGATTGTTCTTCTCTAGGAATAACAATAGATGTAGATAATACTGAAGATTGTTATTGGGAAGATGGCTCTAGTTACAGAGGAATTACAGAAGTATCTTCGACGGGAAAGACTTGTTTGAGATGGTCATGGCTAATGAAAGAAATTTCTGATTTTCCAGAGCTCATAGGTCAAAATTATTGTCGGTATGGATATAAGACCTTTTACATGAATTATAATTAAATGCCACTTTATTAGAAATCCAGGCGGCGTGGAAAGTAGCCCTTGGTGTTTTGTTGATGATACATCTTTTGAACGCATAATTGAACCTTGTAATATCCCGAAATGTGCGGAGAAAATGTGGCTCAATGCGATTCTCATTACAGCAGCAGCCTTATTTTTTATTGTAGCAATATTTTCAGTTGTTTTCATAAAAAGGAAAAAAGCCTATGGAATGAGGAACATACGAAATGTAAGTATTAACATAATATATTTCAATTTACACAAATATTCAATAGTATGTGTTTCGAAAAAGGTGACTCGAAATACATTGAAGTAGTAATAATATAAAACAGTAATTACTTAATAGTTTAGCTCGTCCCCAGCATATGTTTCCACGGTCACGGTTGGATTGGATTAAGTTCATCTCATAATTTAAATACATTTCTCAATCTGTTAATTCAAACTTTAAAGTAAAACAAATTAATTTGTATATCGATCCTAATCTTTTATTTTAGATCAACACACCTAATGCTGATAAAAACATATATGGGAATTCACAACTAAATTCGATTCCAGAAGCGGGACGAATTAGTTTAACCAATATTTTGGAAGGTGTACCATTATCTTCAAAAAATATTGAAAAGAACCCACTTCTTAAAATACCACATTTAACATTACAAGATGTTGAATTTTTCGAGGAACTTGGAGAAGGCGCCTTTGGTAAAAACAAACTTTTATTAAGCTCACGTGCTATTTGGTATTAATTTTTTGTTTCAATAGGAAAAGTATACAAAGGCCAACTTACACAAAGTAGCGGAACAAAAATGTTTGTTGCTATAAAGGCCCTAAAGGAGAATGCTTCTGTTAAAACACAACAAGACTTCAAACGCGAAATCGAACTAATTTCGGACCTAAAACATCAAAATATAGTTTGTATTCTAGGTGTGGTTTTAAACAAAGAACCGTACTGTATGATTTTTGAATACATGTCCAACGGAGATTTGCACGAGTTCTTAATATCAAACTCGCCAAGCGAAAATAAATCCCTGACACAATTAGAACTCTTAAAAATATCAATGCAAATTAGCGAAGGCATGGAATACTTATCTGCGCACCATTATGTTCATCGCGATTTGGCCGCACGGAATTGCTTAGTAAGCGATGGATTAATCGTTAAAATTTCAGATTTTGGATTGTCAAGAGACATTTATAGCTCTGATTATTATAGGTAAGTACTATACTTGGAATAAAAAAAATTTACGATGATATACTTCTGCATATTACTCTAGTACTCTATAGGTTTTGCAGAATGTTTTTAAATTTGTGTTTACCTATTACTGTCATTTTAAACCAGCAAAGGAATGCCAAAGTCGAGCAGGTTCAACTCCTACTTGTTCATACCATGTACCCACTCCACAAATAAATTAAAATAATTCAATGAAATAAAAAATATTCAATACATACATAAATACAGGCATAAAACAAGTAGAGAAGCTAAAGTCGGGTGTCCCGACTTTGAAATACTCTGTACATATGAGTACAATAATTATGCGTGTATGTGTGTGTATGTGTATGTCTCGTGTGGCTGTGCAAAGCAGTAACAACAACAGATGCGGGCACTGCTTGGTCATACATACATACATGGCTATAACTTTCTGTTAAATCATGATGAAACTTAGTATACAGACTCATAATCACTAACTGGGGGTATTTTCCGAAATTCAATGAAAAATGCTAAGAAACGGGAATTATGGAAAATCACTAGGAGAGGGGGAGGGAGGGAAATTCCAAAATACACATTTTATGCGTATTCAGATAAGACATCTGGGACTAAAGTTTGGTGTCCCTAGCTCTTATAGTGTCCCAGATATGGGCGATTATACGAATGGAAAATCTGGAAAAGCTCCATAGGCGGGAAGTGGGCAACATTTTGTGTCTCTAGCTGTTATAGTCTCAGAGATCCAGGTGTTCATACGGATAGACTGACAGACAGACAGAGCTAGATTGACTCGTCTACATTACGACTCTTACATTTCGTACATTTCATGTACAGAGTATAAAAATCATTTATGTTCAGGTTCGAAAACATACATTTACTTCGAGATTGCGTTTATGCGGAAAAACACAAAATTATCTTTTCTCGTATGTAGGACTATCTTGGTACCAAATGGTGTTTAATATGGCTTTGATCAGAGGTGGGTATGTTACATACATTAGTACTAACTAGCCCACCCTTTTACACTTCAGGTATAAGGTGTAAAAATGGCATAGTGAGTGAACATCTCTGCTATTTAATTTTGTTCGGGGCTCAGCAACATACTACTAATAGTACCAGTAGTTGTAATTGATGGCAAACCGAGCACCATAAAAAAATTATAATTATAAGTAATTTAAAATAAATAAATTTATTTTTTAAGGGTCCAATCTAAAAGTTTACTTCCTGTACGATGGATGCCATCGGAGAGCATTTTATATGGAAAATTTACAACTGAAAGCGATATATGGTCATTTGGAGTAGTGCTTTGGGAAATTTATAGTTATGGAATCCAGGTAATTTTAATAGATTTTGTAAAAACAAATACCTGTCCTAAAAAATTTATTTTTCGGTTTCAGCCTTATTATGGACATAGTAATCAGGAAGTAATCAACTTAATTCGTTCCCGACAATTGCTGCCTTGTCCGGAAATATGTCCGAGTGCTGTTTATTCCCTAATGGTAGAATGCTGGCATGAACAATCGGTTAAAAGACCAACATTTTCCGACATATCTAGTCGGTTAAGAACATGGTTTGATGGACACATAAAAATGAATAGTTTGAATACATAGGTTTTTATTAAAACTCTGTACTACACGTATTATTCAAGTAGTTCATTACGCATAGACATATAGTATGTGCAATAAAAACATACTAATCATATTTATAATTAATTGTGATTCAAAATAAATGAATGGGTGATGGTAGCTTTCTTTATCCGTTACTCGAACGCTTGTTGCGAGCCCGATTCTACGAACAATAACAGCTGAGCTTGAGCAGGGCTACATAGATCGACAAGTCCTGTCATAGTGGCGAGCATGCATGCATACATGTTCATCACATTTCAGGTTTAAAACTAAATCGATCGTTGTGAATTTTTAAAATATACTTTTTATCACAATAATTACAATTAAAAGAGATCGGCTTCGTTAAGTATTTAGTATTTCCAAAAAAAGCTAAACTTTGTAACGTTACTCTGTTATAAAGCTTTTCGTAACACACTCAGGGGATTTTCGAAAAATACAGTGTTCGCGTGCCTAAGACCAATGTCAAATAAGTAGTAAAAATTGACCGCTGTTTATTACAATATTCGCGAATAATTCTTTTTTTTTATCGGTCGGCAAGATTTGGATTATTGACTGAATTGAAGCCTTTCTCCATTAAAATACCTGTTGCTCCATTTACTAATCCACCTGCTGTGTCAACATTGACAGTTACTACATATTTCGCAAGGGTTTTCAAAATTAACGAACTGCAAAGTCCTTGTGATTGGAAAGTTTTGAAATTTTTTACCGTCTCGAGATACTTATTTCTAGCTGCCAAGTTGAAATGTGTAGCCTTAACGGAATCCCGAGCATGAGATATAAATTGCTTAGTTGGAATTGAGTTTATTTTTTTTGTATTATATCTATCGACTCCAGAATTACTGGTTAACAGATGAATAACAACATCCGGGACTTGACGACTATCGACAATCCTGCTTTTGAGCAACCTAATATCAACAGGAGTCATTTTACCATTTGCCATATTGTTTAAATCTACAGCAAAGCACTGGTCTTCTCGCTGTCTCATAATCTCAATAAGTTTAAAGAACTATGGCACTGTACGGATTATGAGATTCTGGAACGGATTGAAATATCCATCTATCCCCTTCTAGGCGTAGGTGTCTCAAATCGCCAAACACGATAAAGTCCGCAAGGCTTCTTTGTTATTAAAAATTGGCTTTAAGCGAAAGTACAAATGGGAGAACATTTTGACACCGACTTATTCTTCATAGGACGAAGCCGAAGCTACTTCTTTTGAAATTTCAGAACTATTCAAATTTTTCTTTAGTAAAACTAACAACTTTGTCTACCTTGTCTCAGCAGACCACAACGTTATAATAAAAAGGTGGGAGCCCAAACTGAGGTATCATCGGCATGACTTTATTTCTATACTCTGTACATGAAATGTACAGGAGCTGAAAACTGTACCAGGCAGAAGGAGGCGTGGCAGACCCCAAAAAGGATATATATTCTTGATCAGCATGACAAGACGAGGCGATCTATGCCTGTCTGTCCGTCCGTATGATCACTAAGAACTCAGATACTATAAAAGATAGAGGCACCAAATTTTGTAACACGCAGAAGGAGGCGTGACAGGCCCCACAAAGTATATTTTGTAATGCAAATTAGTAGCGCATATCGAAACGCCCACATGCGCCACCTACCAACAGCTGTTTTTGCACGATCCACACTGCTGCAGCCAACTTCAAGGCTTCAACCGCAACTAACTTTAAGGAGTTGTTCTCTTCCTGGTGCGCTCAGGACCGACACGGTTGCGTCGTCTGCTAAGGCGGATCATTAAATTAAAATCCTATGTATTTGGGCCATCTGGCCGTTAGATCGCTAATAAAGTGAAGTAATGGAAAGTTAAGTTAAGCGGCGCAATTATTTATTGGTGCTGCAGCTGCTTTGCACACTACCAGCTATTGTTTTGCGTAGCGAATCGCCGGTCACATTGGTGTCAGGTGTGGGGTTATGCTTGATTATACCGATGTATCCTAGCCACACAAAATGCCGAAAAATAAAAATAAAGCGAACAGTCAGTGCTGGCAAGCCATCGATAGCTTGAGCCAAACAGTGCACCGATTTGGCTGCTGCTTTCAACACTGATGTGCCGTCTTGAGAGGCCACTCAGGCAGCAGCCCATGCAATGCTCCAGCGGTTGGAAATACAGCCGCCGTCTGTTTATTCAACGTGGGAACCAACTTGCTGCGCCAGGGATGCAGCTGCCAGCGCTCATCACGTCTACGCCGGATCAAGACGCGCACCAGCACCATAGTGCCACGTTACGACCACCGCACAGACGGTGGGGCAGCAGATGGTAATTAACATACACTCTGGCTGAAAATGTATCTCAGCGCGCCATGCACTTGCCCAGTCAGTTTTTGTCGTCGCCCACCGCACTCAAAAACCGGACCGGCTGCAGGAGAGAAGACTGTGCGCATTGACTGTTACCAATCAAAGACGCCGCAATAGACGAGCGCATAGTCGATACGGTTGCCGAATTTTATGGCAGGACTGATAAGGAGAGGCGGTTGGGCGTTGCATTCAACTTAAAAGTACGCGCGCTAAAGCTATACAACACATTGCCCGGGTGACCAGGCCCACCATATGTCACATTTTGCACAGCCGAAGATGGTTCACGCACATCCAGGAGTCATACCTTCAACAATTTTATGGTCGGCGGAAGAACATGCGCGACGCTGGAAGATTTTGCGCTTGATTTGGAGCACTTGGCGCAAAGAGCAGCGTACCTGAAACGCTGCTTAATTTGACACTCGTTCGACAGTTCGTAGATGGAGTTCGGGAGTCGCCTTTGCAGAGCACCTTGGCCGCGCAGAGGCCCCGCGATCTGGTGGAAGCCCTTGGAATAGCTAATCGGGTGTACACTCAATGCATGCATAAGACAAGTAAGCCCATATTCGATGTCGAGCAGAGTGGGCCACCATCTGTGGCACAGGCGCGAAAGCGACGTCTCCGGAAAGGAAAACGGCATGCTGCCCGACCGGCGGAACTCGGCGGGAAATGTACGGATGCCAGTTCTGTGAGGCGGGCATCCGCGCCTCACCCAAATCACAGCGGCAGCCACCTGTCAGAAATCCTGTCATTGTCGAGGCTTCCGTTCCTTTAGTCGATGCCATCCAAGCCCCTGTGACAGACAGAAACCAGGCTGCGCTTTTCCGAGAAGCCCACGAAATTAACAATAAGGATGCTGACGAGACGGCAATTTCCAGTCACACCGTCGAATATCAGGTACCAGCCCCCGGTACCCTACAGGATCGCCCGGTGCCAATGGCGACAGTAAGATTCCGGCTTGGCAAGCGAACGCTTGGCCACGACTTCGTCCTTGTTGGTGGCGACTCACCAAGCTTGCTTGTGAGTGAGTTTAAGAAGGCTGTATCTAACATTTGGCGGCAGCGCCATTTTTCTTTAGCAGTAGACAAAAAATGCTGTACCTTATATTGCCAGTTTGTGTGCCGCCAAGATGTGACACATCTGTGCGAATGACATGTGTAGCAGTCGAACCAAGAGAGCGTGATCATAGAGCCGGCTGCCCAGTCTGAGCTGCCACCTGGTGTTATGATTGGCCGCACGCTTGTGGATGCGACTAAGGGAGATATAACATATAGGCCACGCTACATGGTTCCAGCTGGTTTTCTACTATGGACTTGCAAGCGGAAATTGGCAGGTTGAAATGGACGAGCAGTCGCGTCCAAAAACGGCTTTTGCATGCGACGCTGAGCTGTTTGAATTCAACGTCATGCCGTTTGGGCTATGGAATGCCCCCACCACGTTTGAGCGTCTGCTGAATGGCCTGTTCTCAGATTTAGCCTGGAAATCCATCATAGTTTACATGGATGACGTCATCGCGCATTCGCGTACCACTTCAAGCGTTTGGAAGACATTTTTCGTCAGCTCGCAGAAGCTGAACTGAAGATGAGCCCCCTAAAATTGAAGCTGACTACCTTGGCCACGTGGTTGGTCGCAGTGGCCTGAAGCCCAGTGCATTGAAAATTGAAAAATTGGTCACATGACCAACTCCATTAACCAAAACTTAAGTGAGATCCTTTCTGGGACTTAGTTCATATTACCAAATTTATTGCAAATTTTTCCACAATTGCACGACCGCTGCACGCGTTGTCAAAAGCTAAGCGCGAATTTTCTTGGGAAGAAGCTCCTACTAACGCCTTTGAGTCGCTGAAAACTAAGCTTACATCGGCTCCCATACCGGCGTTTCCAAGTGAAACTGTCGAATTCGTACTGGATACCGATGCCTACGACAGCGGCGTGGCCGCAGTTCTTAGCCAAATCCAAGACGGCGTTGAACGCGTCATCGAGTATTACAACAAAAGCTTGCAGCCGGCAGAGCGCAACTGACATTATAATTAATGAGATGTATGCATTCAAAGTTGACCCATTTTTTTTTTAGCTCGCAACGAAAAATTGAATTGTAGTCAAATACTTTATTTTTCAGGTATAATATTAGCTAAATTATGTGACTAATCATTAATTTTTGATTTGTATTGCTAGGTGTATTAATTTTATGCATTATTTAATTAAAATTGTGCCTTTTGCAATGTTAGTTTTCTAGAAAATGATTTTTAGCAAACTACCTGTTTTTAGGTTTTTTAACTTTGGTGGAAAATAAAACAAAAGTACTCTTTAGTACCTCTCCCATATTTTCAAAATATGTACCCGAGATATTCCTTTACCTAACTCTAAAAACTCTAAAAAAAAAAAGTTGGCTGGATAGCGATAGCGCATTAGCGACGACACACAAACGACATATCGACGTCACACACACAGATACATATTAACGATGTGTGAACGTGAAAGATACCGTGTGGACGTGTTTTGTTTGCGGACATTCTCAAAGTGGTCAAATCTGCACCATTGCAGCCATTAAAAGACGATGTACAGCGCATCAGGCGAACAAGAAACGGTAGCCTGCTCTTCCAATTAAGCAGAGCACCGACTCATGACATCGGTAAGCTACACGAAGCTGTAGAGGTGGCCTCAAATGGAATAGCCGTGGTCAAACCGTGGTCAAGCAAATAGCCACACTCTCCCTCCCAACGGACAAAGCAAGGGCGTTTACTGAGCTGGGAAAAGTGCGCATAGGTTG